ATTAAAATATAATTTTATAATATCATCAGCCATGAGGTGAAAAAACAAATCTAAATTTCAGAAGTTAGACAATTTTTTGTCGTGCATTAATCGATTACCTTCCTTCACCCAAATTTAATACTATTTGCCTGTATACCTCTACTGTTGCTTACCAACTCTTATCGTTAAAGTAACTGAGAATAAGTAGCTTCGCCAAATTTAACTGGCGGTCGAAAACTGTCATGTCCATTTCAGTGTGAAGTACCTGGGATTTGAATGGCGCCATCCTGATTGCAGAAATAAGTGGAATAGTTGTGATCAACAGCTAAGTCACCCATAGAATCGCATATAGAGTGAACTAAATTCTAGTTGAGGACTAGCTGATCATTTTAACTATTGCTATTCTCGATATTGCACATTGTCTTCTCCCTGCATTGTTCGTAGCTGCAGAGGTCAACGGTTCTGATCAGTAGTGGGATCAGGGTTAATCTAACTCCAAAATTAGGCTTAGAAATTCCCGTCAAGGCTAAATCCATGGTGCTTCAAGCAACCACAGCCATATTTTCTAGTGCGTGGAAAAAAATATCTTACCTTTAATTTGTTGTGGGTCCCAGCATGTGGCCTTGAGCCACGCCGGGGCCACGGAATTAACTTTGGCCAGATTACGCTTTCCTAATACCCGCCATAAAGTGAAAAGGCCAGAGAGGACGGGACAAAAGCGTTTACTTCAGAGGTCAACCACGTTGGTGTCATTGTGTCGTGTGTGGTGTTTGCGCGTGTGGATATATAGCTCGGATGTGTGAGTCATGCATGCGCTAACATCGAGACCTGTGTGTGGCTACACTCCAAGATAAATATTCGGGCTAATAAAGGGGCAGGAATCCAGCGGCTGGCGACATGCTGCGACAAGGGGAACCCTGTGTAGGAGTTAGAGCGACCGGATTAGGGGGTTGAATAAACAGGATTCACGATACACTCAATTAACAAAACACTTAATGCAATAAAATTTCAAAGGACATCTTCATTAAACTTATGACTAAGTCTTCGCGCGTATTTTAATATTTCATAGATCGACATGTTTAACACGTATATGGCGGCTTCACCTGTACCCCCAATGTATCCCCTCTTCGTCCGCAACACAAAACCCAGACTAAAATTTACCGACGAAGAGAAATCTGCGATGCTGGCAAAAAACAACACTTACCTGCTGCCGCACTATCACAAGCAGAGAACAAAATTAATTGCCTGGGTGGTCTCCAATCATTCGCCACGAAACAACAGAAAGGAGTATGCAGAGGCGATTGCAAAATTTGTTCCGGTACGCTGCATTATCCATTCTACCTTTTGATGCAGTTCTTGTGACGCACTGACTCGTCCTTTTGCAAGGCTATTTGCTCCAAATGCCTCATATGGTCATGATAGCTATTAGTTCAAAAGGCATTGGATGTGACAACGACAGACTGCAAAATTGTTTAATGGGAAACCCTACAAATTAACTTTGATAAATAAACATTGCTCGTGGAAAGATGCGCAAAGTCAGGAACAGATATGTAGCCGATATCGGTGATGTCAAATCAGAAAGTAATTCGAATGTGAAAGACTTTCCTGATTAGGCACCATACAGACGGCAATTGATTGCGACAATGAAGTAAGCTGTTTTTAGGCGCAGGGCAATTTGAACAGCTGGTCTAACGCATTACCACAGTGCATTACCTCATTGGTCATGGAGACCTGCAGCTTTCTGTATTGTTCAAAACCATCGCAAGCAATTTCATTCTGCGGATTGCAATTGCCACCACTTCCCCCGGTGTGGTTTTATCCCAGATATGCGCCTTAAGATGTTACTTTATACAAAGAAGCTCACGTTAACTGGTCTCAAGCTTCCTGTGCAATCGAATGCATTTGTACGATTATGCCATGATTTTCAGTCACATTTGTCGACTACTAGCCCTCGGTTCTGACATTTCAATGTAGCATTGCGATGTGTTTCATTGTTACCTGAACACATAGACAGACAAATAGTCAACAAGTTAAAATTAGTGGCTTTCTCAAAAATGCAACAAGTTAGTAAGATTACATCAGTCAGTTGTTGCTGTAGGATAGGTTTTAGGCAAGGTGTGTTAGTTGATTTGGAATCATTACAGAGGCATTTTCTTTAAATAAAACCAAATAACTAATGCGTAAAATGTTTGGTCTCTTATGAGCAAATCATGACTGGTAAACATTTTCAATTTATTCATTTTTTCAAACGTAGGCCTTTTTGGCATTTACAGTTTCCATTTTTATATAAAACCTGAGCATTCTTTTTCTTAATCAAGCATTTCATTTATTTCTTAAGAGTTAGCAGTGAGAACTCCAAGACATTCGGACCACATTTTGAGGCTTTACACTGCAGTAAAACGCATAAACGCTGAATTTACTGTCTACTAGAAACAATGGTACTTGGCCTAAATTCACACCCCCCTGTGCAATTTATTATTCGCCCATTCGGTAAAATATCCCATGTTACCAATTGGACCGCATGCTATAGGGAATCAGCATATACCGACACATAAAATCGTGACTACTTCCCTCATATATGCATTTAACACAAATGTCGTCAGTGTCAATCACAAAATGTTAAAATACAAAGCCAGTCTAAACTCATTGACTGCTTGGGAAGTAAAATGACTAGCGTAATTGGTGTGACAGTGGCGAATTCCCACTTTCAATTGTAGGTTGACGTATACGGCAAGAATGGAAAGCAATTTCCACCTGGTCGGGATGCATTTAAATGGCTCTCCGAGAATTACAAATTCTATTTGGCTTTCGAGAATTCCAATTGCAGAAATTACATAACGGAGAAAGCCACAATCAATGCCTTCAAGTGCGTCCATCTCCATCTCCAGGAGCGGGTTTGCTTTATCACCTTCTCAAAATACTAATTTGAGATTTTGAGACAAAGAATAGCACTGGGAACTAGCCGACGAGGCCTTAAATGATATATCACAACAGAATTCAACACTCGTCGTGACAATTTGAAAGGTCACATAAAGTTCAGGCGTTATAGCAGAATTCAATATTCCGTCATGATAATTTGAAAGGTGTCGTAAAATTCCAAATTTCTGAATGGGCAATAACAAGGATTGCAAGCTTTCTAATTGTCATGTGTAACTCGAATGGACTAGCTGTGTTCTGGAACACTCGTTTAGCAGTTGGCAGTTTGGAAACACATAGGCCGGTCTGAGTGAAATTCTGAGGTCACACATGTATGTCCTCTCGCTTATCTGACGCCTGTTTAGAAAAGACGAGAGGATGGTGACTGCTAGCTTGTCTGAGTGTAGGTTGACACAGCGTCAAGCGCGCTGCACTATTCTTTAATATGAAGCGGATGCTAGTACCAGGAGGTGTAACGCGTTGCTGCACTTGCCGACTCAAACAATGAAAATTGGTTACTTTTGGCAGTTTCAGCATGGTTCCGATTGTCCTCGGAGCTTACAAGGAAGACTACGATGATGCTCTTCCACCTCACTCCTACATCAACGTGGATGACTTCAAGTCCATTCGCGAGTTGGTCAGGTATCTGCTCTACTTGGACAGAAACGACACCGCATATGCCGAGTACTTTGCCTGGAAGGAACATGGACAAATCCTCGTACGATTTGCCGTTATATAGCTCCTGTATTCACCATTAACATATGATAGGCACGCAACGACACTGCCATTAGTAAAATGAAGAATTCGGAAAATATGATATCTCGGTGTGTGGATGTGCAATGGTAGTGGAATAGACGTGGTATAGTGCGCATGCAGAAAAGGCATTTCTGGGGAAGCAGAATGAATTCAAACCACAACCTGGTTTGTCTCTACTTAGAGTGAATTTTTAATCTGACATGGAATTGATATTGTTGGCTTTGGTGAGCACGCGATTGCGACAGGCACAATGCATCTGTGTGTTTGCCACTGAATCCGCAGTAATGACACCGTACGAAGTAAGTGCGTATCTCATGCCATCTACCTATTCATATTCAAGCATGCTAACTTGTATTCGTTACCGCTTGCTTGCCAATTGCGTGTGCGTGAACACGTAATTCAAGGTAAGCTGCGCTGTGTGGCTATCGCAGGCCCTTGCATGCGTCGCGAGACTGACGCCGTACTTCATGGCAACGTGGTAGCTGATATGCTGAAATACGCAGAGCAAAGTCAACACGATGAGGTGAGCGAAGGGGAATTAGATGTAAATGAATGAATGAATGGATGGATGCCCCCCTAACGGAAGTAATCAGTTGTCATATTGGAAGTAAACAGATGCATTCAGTTATCAATCAGCAAAAATTGAAATTCTGAGGCAGCTAAACAGTGTCATTTGATGTGCCTTCTTATTCTTATCGTCACTGAAACAGTGAAATGTCGTTGACGGTGCAAATGTAGGCGGAGAGGGCATAGCGACAGTTCATTGTCGTGC